TGTACGTTATGATAATTTAGTTGCTTGTGTAAATTCATTGAAAAGTACATTTTCATCAGTTACAACTATGATCACTCGTTTATTAGCAATTTTGGCCTTGTTAAAAAAAGCGTCCATTGGGGATTATATGGCAAAATCGCATTCATGTTTTAAAAAAGTAGTAGAAATTGCATTAGAATTTAATTATATTTTGAAACCCCAAAATACTTCTCTAATTGCTGAGACTAATACATCAAATGCAATGGAATTTTTGGTAAACATTCGAAAAAATCAACTACGTATAACCCATTTATTTTCTGATTTCAAAATTAATCAGTTTCTTAAAAACGACTGTGTTATTGACAAACCATTGTTAAATAAATTTGAATTAATAGATTCATATCAATTTGGTCTATATTTATATAACAATTTAAGTTCAGATTTAATACAAATTTGTGAAAATTTTATTAAAACTGATTATGATTTATGTTTCAGTAAATTAGTAAAACAATATATTATGAAATAAAATTTAAAAATGTATCGTTTTATATCTAAAATATACGATTTTTATTAATATTTAATACTTTTAAATTGTTAAATATACTTACCCATTATAAATAATTAAACGAGTCTCATTTTTATTTCAATCATCGATTAAATAAAAAAATTTTAAATTAAGTACACGTGTTCAATCGAAAATATGATATATAAGAATTAAAAATTGTTAAAATATATAACATTAAAAATGTAACGTAAAACTGCGCCGATTTTATATAGTATAATTATAACCAATTGACAAGATTTTCATTGTTAAATGCCCTTTTATAAAAGTAGTTTATCGATCTCTGATAAAATTCTTAAAATATTTTTTTGGATTTAATTGATCAATGTGATAGAATCTTTCACGTGAAAGTTTTATGGAATACGTAAGAGGTTTGTTAAGAGTTTGGTGTAAGAAATAATGTTATTTTTTTATTATATCCACGGGAACGCTGTTTCAGTGGTGTATCTTTATTGATTAAATGTATTAGATATTTCATGTATTAAAATGTATTACTACATCGTCACGACTGACTACAATAATAATATAAGTTCACATAAATTTTTAAAAGTTTTAAAAGTTTTATAATCACCATAATAGATTAAGGCGTATAATATAATTAACGAAAAACATCAAAATAACACAAACTGATTAGACATACTAAAATTTTTATATAGTCTCCACAGTATTCGCTTGTGAGAAAGATACGATCAAATATTTTCTTGGAAAACGTACCACTCGTCCAAAACAAGGAGTTTTTTTTCTGTGATTGTTTTTGGTGCTGACTGTTGATTGCTTGTTGACTTGTTGACCAAGTTTAATTAATTTCAAGTTTGAAATTTTTGTTACTCCGTGATTCTTTTTTATAAAGTCCTTTGTAAATTAGCTCTAAATTTTATTATTATGTCCTTTCTTAAAAAAAAATGGGTGTATAATTTTAGCTTTGATGCAAAGCTGAGAAGGTATTAATTTTACTATGATTTATGTTTTTTCTTATTTTATTTTTTTGTATGGCTTTTACCAATCATTCCCAGCTCTCACTGTACCGATTTTCATGAACAATATGTCAAACGATCACAAATTGTGTCTACTTTTGAAAATTAAAAAAAATTCTCTCGTTCTCCATAAATGAGCGAAATCACCATTTTTTTTTTTTTT